GTCCTGACCAGCGGTGCGTTGTGGTATTCCCGGATGGCATCCGCAACTACATGACAAAGTTCCCGGACAAGAATTGGCTGGTGGAGAACGGCCTGGAGGAGGGCGAAGTGACACGCCCAACTTACGGGTCGCTGGAGGCGCAGCTGGAAGAGGCAAAGAAAAAACTGTCGGAGTATGAGGCGAAATGCGGCGGCAGCGTGGAGGAGGGCAAACGTTGCTGTGAAAAAGCAAAATAATATATGAATACATACATATATAAATAAATAAAACATAAACATACATAACGGGGCAAAACGAGGTAAATTTTGAGTGAATTCTGGGATCAGGGCGAATGCAAGGCAACGATAATTGCATGGGTACGGCAGCATTGTTAGGGAGGGAAGTGGAGTGTTTGGGGGGCACTGCGGGCGAGCGAAGACAAGAGCAAAAAAAAAAAAAAAAGCGTCCGCCATGAGAAATACTGGGGAAATATGTGCAGGGAGACAGCTGGTGGGACGATGTGTGCGGAGGCGAAACGGAAAACCGGCAAAGCATAAGAGGAATTGCGGGATGGGTGCTGGGGATGATTGATTACCGAAATTAACCGAATACATTACTAACATAACGCCAGAAATGGAGGGGGACCTCGTGTCTTCTACGGGTCGATGCAATCCGGGTTCCCAGTGGTGAACCGATGATGCATGCCCTGCTTTGGATCCGAGAGGAAGGGCAAAGCAAAGGGGAGGGGCGCGATGTTTTTTTATTTTTTATTTCCTATTTATCTTATTTTTTTTTTTTGAATGTGTTTTCTTGAATATGTTTGGTGTGTGTGTTTTTATTATTGGGGGCGTGCGAAAAGAATGTCCGCGAGAATGCGGGCGACCTAATTTAATATGTTCTGATAAGACGAATATGTTTCTGTGCGGTCCTTTCCCATCTTAGGGTTCCTTGGAAGACCGCGATGGGAGGAGTCAAGGAACCGATGACGGCAGGATGAATTTTATTGTTTTTGCCGTCTAACCCCCTTTTTTGACTCCAACCCTGCGGCGGGGTCTTGTGGTTGGAGGAACTTGAACTCAGCCACCTCGTAACTAATAATATCTCCAGTCCGCAGAGTCTGCAGCACGTCACGGTGGCGGCCAGCCGAATACATGTATATATAATTGGAGCGAACAACGGGGACGCGGCGAAGTCACTGTCTCTCCACCACCCCTTCCTTCCCGTCCCATTTTATTTTTATGGAAAAGTCTGGTGTCTGGTCAGCGGCCCGGGCGAATATTTGCGTGACTCGCGCCCGCGCTTCCTAGGAGAGGGGAGTGGGGAGCGGCAACCCCCAGCACCGCCACGAAATGGCTGCTTTCACCACTTGTCCTTTCTCTTCACCCTGTTGTTGTTATTGTTTGTGATCCCGAATGGTAGAGAAGACGTCCAAATCATGGCTCAGAACCCCTCAGCAGTAAACAACAAAAAGGAAGTGCCCGACAGGCGAAAATGCATTCTTGACACCGTCCTCGACGCCATCGGCTCCACCCCCTGCATCCGACTCAATCACGTGCCGAAGAAACACGGCGTGTGCTGCGATGTGGTTGCAAAGTGTGAATTCCTCAACCCCGGTGGCAGCGTCAAGGACCGCATTGCTCGGCAAATGGTTCTGGACGCAGAGGCGAGTGGCCGACTGCGCCCCAATCAAACAATTATTGAGGCGACAAGTGGGAACACGGGCATCGGGCTCAGTCTGGTGGCTGCGGTGAAGAAATACCCCATGATCATCACCATGCCCAAAAAGATGTCACATGAGAAGGAGGTGACCCTCCAGGCCCTGGGAGCAGAGGTGATTCGAACGGAGACCGCATTGCCATGGGATCACCCGGATAGTCTCATTGGCATGGCTCGGCGTCTGGAGAAGGAGAAGGGCTACGTGTTGCTGGACCAGTACCGGAACCCAAGCAATCCGAAGGCGCACTACGAAGGCACGGCTCAGGAGATTTACGATCAGTGCGGTGGAAAGGTTGACATGGCGGTGTTCACCACTGGGACGGGCGGCACAATGGCCGGAGTGGCAAGGCGATTGAAGGAATTGCTGCCCAACATTGTCATTGTCGGCGTCGATCCGTACGGGAGCATTTTGGCCGATCCCTCGGTACCGCTGGATCCGAAGCCGTACCTCGTTGAGGGCATCGGGTACGATTTTGTGCCAGATGTCTGCGAACGGAAGTACGTTGATCGGTGGGTGAAGTCCGCTGACAAGGAAAGCTTTGCGCTGGCGTCGGAGGTTCACCGCGAAGAGGCGCTCCTCGTCGGAGGGAGCAGTGGTGCCGCCATGTGGGGTGTGCTGCAGGCAGCGAAAGATCTTCGTCCTGACCAGCGGTGCGTTGTGGTATTCCCGGATGGCATCCGCAACTACATGACAAAGTTCCCGGACAAGAATTGGCTGGTGGAGAACGGCCTGGAGGAGGGCGAAGTGACACGCCCAACTTACGGGTCGCTGGAGGCGCAGCTGGAAGAGGCAAAGAAAAAACTGTCGGAGTATGAGGCGAAATGCGGCGGCAGCGTGGAGGAGGGCAAACGTTGCTGTGAAAAAGCAAAATAATATATGAATACATACATATATATAAATAAATAAAACATAAACATACATAACGGGGCAAAGCGAGGTAAATTTTGAGTGAATTCTGGGATCAGGGCGAATGCAAGGCAACGATAATTGCATGGGTACGGCAGCATTGTTAGGGAGGGAAGTGGGATGTTTGGGGGGCACTGCGGGCGAGCGAAGACAAGAGCAAAAAAAAAAAAAAAAGCGTCCGCCATGAGAAATACTGGGGAAATATGTGCAGGGAGACAGCTGGTGGGATGATGTGTGCGGAGGCGAAACGGAAAACCGGCAAAGCATAAGAGGAATTGCGGGATGGGTGCTGGGGATGATTGATTACCGCAATTAACCGAATACATTACTAACATAACGCCAGAAATGGGGGGGGACCTCGTGTCTTCTACGGGTCGATGCAATTCGGGTTCCCAGTGGTGAACCGATGATGCATGTCCTGCCTTGGATCCGAGAGGAAGGGCAAAGCAAAGGGGAGGGGCGCGATGTTTTTTTATTTTGCTTCCGTTTTTGAAGTATGTTTTTTAGGAGTGTGTGATGAGAATGGTCTTGGGAGAGCTGTCTAAATTATTTAGTATATATTTATCCTGATAAAAGGAATGGACTTCTTTATGATATTTTTACTAGCAGATGTTGGAGCCATTGTATATTGGCTGCCCGCGGAGTAAGTTTATCCGTGCTGCTGAATTCCTTCGCATGTTTACCAGAGCTGCACATTTGAGGTGTAGTTACTATGACTGGTAAGAGAAGAAAGAAAAAAAAAATAAAAAATTTTTTACTACATTATGGCTTGTGGGAAGAACGCGACATTAGGGAAGTAAGGTACTGATGGCTGTCATATAATTTTATTTTCATTTTGCCATCCGCCCCCTCTCTTGATTCCAACCCTGCGGCGGGGTCTTTTGGCTGGAGGGACACAAAGTATACCAATTCGTATGTAATAAATGTTTCAGATCCTACCTGAGTTCAAAAGGTCATTTGAGCGGTGAACATATATATATATATATAATCAGAAGAAAACATTGAGGGAATTAATTGATTCTGCACGAAACCCTCTTTTTTCCCTTTCTTGTTTGGTTTATATGGATAATTTTAGGATCCGGCCAGCAGCCCAGAAAATTTTTGTTCTTGAATCTTTTTGTTTTTGTTTATTTGTTGTTGGTTTTCTTTAACCTGCGTTTGACGTGGTTGCAGGGAGATTTGACTGTGCCAAATGCATTTTTTCTTTCTGTGTTTTCTCTTTTCATATTTACACGAATGTGCATAAACATGCATGGGCACCTATTGGTTGTAGGTGTATGAGGGTGTGTCCGTGCGGCTGTTGGGAGTAACATGAACACGGAGGAGCGCATTCGGTACGACCGCCAGGTACGTTTGTGGGGCAAAGCCACGCAGCAGCAGCTTCAGCAAACTGCGGTGCGTATATGCGGGATGACACCTGCCGTTGCGGAGGTGGTCAAAAATTTGGTTTTGGCTGGCGTGTGCTCAGTTACTGTGGAGGATGAGGCCGTATTGGACGACAATGACCTCAAGAACAACTTTCTTATTCAGGGCCACGCTGTCGGTGAAAGGAGGGGCAGGGCGTCTGTAGGGCGGCTCCAGTCGCTGAACCCGTATGTCGCCGTTCACCTGTCCTCGCCAATGGGTGGTGAGGGAATCGTGAGAAATGGCGCCTTGTTTAGTGTCCTTATTGTCGGGGTTCAAAGCCTTGGGGACGCCGTAAGAAGCATTTGTCTCCAGCGCAACGCGGGAACGGATTTGGTGGTGCTCGTGTCGAGCCTCGGCCATCTGACGATGAGTATATTTTTGTCAAGAAAGCTGGAGATTTCTTACGAAGAGCAAGTTTTGACGCTGCTCACGAAAAACGTTTCTTCCAGACCCGTCAACTTTCAGCGAACGTTGCTGCTTATGAGAATGAGTGACTGCCCTGAGGAACTGCCGTTTTTTGACAGGCTTGCCTTTGCGATGGAGATTGTCGTCCGGTACAATTTATTACAACTCGCGCGAGAAGACGTGGAGTTTGCGGCCAGTTTTTCACCACGACGGCATTTTGGTACCGCGATTGAGGCGACTGTAGCAGGTGGTACCATCGCACAACACATTATCCGAGAGATAAGCTGCGTGAAAGAGGGGCCTGGGGATGAAAGCTACACGTGGATCCTCTGTGATAACCGTAACGGTACAGATATCCAGGTGGGGCACACTTACGGCCTCTAGTCGATCGCCACTTTTTCCTGTTAATGCTTCTGGTTGATCTCGGTGTTTTCACTGGATTGGAGTGGTCGCGCGTGTTTTACCACGCATACACATATATTTAACTTCCAGAACATTTTCTTTTATTTTTGCCTTTTTGTTTGTTGTTGTTTTGTGTTGTTTGCCGTTGTTCACGGTTTGACTAGTCCGTTACAAAGACGTTAAAATGCAAATGTCAAGGGAATTCTCACTGATTGTTCTTGGGGCCACAGGCTACACAGGCAAACTGGTTTGTGAGTATCTCGCACGTCTGGGTTCGAGCAAAGTGGAACCTTGGGCGATTGCGGGTCGCAATAAGGAGAAACTTGATCAACTGAAGCAGGAACTTGGCGTGAATCTCTCTGTACTTGTTACAGACATCACCAGTCCCAGTTCACTTGATAAGCTCTGTGCCAGCACCAGTGTGCTCATTTCATGCGCCGGTCCCTTCACATACTTTGGGATGCCCGTTGTGGAGGCTTGCGTCCGCTGCCAGACGCATTACGTGGACTCGACGGGTGAGTATAATTTTGTCCGTCAGGTTATTGAGAAATTTCACGAGGAGGCAAAGAAGCAGGGCGTTGCTCTGGTGTCCTGCTGCGGGTTTGGCAGCGTCCCTGGAGATTTGGGCAACTACTTTGTGCGTCAAGGGCTCGGTTCAGAAGTGGCGGAAGTAAAGGCGTTTTACCAGATGGCGCGTGACGGGATGTCGGGTGGCACGGCACGCTCTGTTATGGCGGCGCATGAGTCGTGTGGTTTGGAAGACAAGGATCCTTACAGCCTGCTCCCGAAAGACGCTCCACGGCCCCCTACAGCTCCTGCGCGGAGAGGTGTGTGGTACGACTTCTCGGAGAGGAGGCTGACGGGGCCGTCTTCGATGTCTGCCACCAACGAACGCATTGTGCGTCGCACGAACGCTTTGCTTGGCTACGGTGGCACGTACGTGGAGGCGATTGAGGGGACTTTGGGAGCTGTTGTTGGCGCAACCATCACGAAGTACATGATGACGGCGGTCCTTGCCGTTCCTTTTCTCCGTCGCTACGTCGCCGAAAATTGGCTGCCTCCGGCTGGAACCGGTCCCACACAATCGCAGAGAGAGGGGTTGTGGTACAAGTGCATTTTTGTTGCCACCGACAAGTCTGGAAAGGTCCTGCGGAGGGTCTTTCTCTCGGACACAAGAGACGTGTACACGGCAAGCGGCATTTACGTCGCCGAATGTGCTCTCAGTGCGCTGCAGATGGCCAAGGAAGGCACGCTGGGCTTCGGTGTATTGACACCTATGGCTGCCTTTGGCGACGTTTTGCTCCAGCGTGTTCGAAGCGCCGGCGTAGTCGTGGAAGTAGTGGAGGAGGCAACAACGGGTACAGCGACACCCGCGCAGTGAGTTGGAAGGAACCTCTCAGTTAGTAGCAGTGCAAATCGGGCGCAGTCTTGCATCTGCATGGCAAAGTGTGCACTGCATAGGAAACGTTTATAGCAATTGCATTGCTTGCGCGTTTATTTTTTGGGCATATTGGGAAAAGGAAAAAGGAAAATGAAAATAGTTTTGTTCGTCTGACTCTTCCCACCTCCGCTTCAGGACTGCCCATAGTAATGAGGTTGCCGTGCGGTGGCGTCACCCCGAATGAGCTATTGGGGTAAAGAGAGCGCAGTGACCGATGCCCCTGCACCAGGGAATGGCGATGCGCACGTAGCGGCTGTTGAGTTGTCGGTCACAAAAGCACCGCGACACCACGAGGAGAACGAACCAAACACTCAGCGTGGAGGAATCTTTGTGGCCGATGAGGACTGCGTGCGACGGTGATGTTTTTTCCCTGAGGGAGTCGGTGCGCACACAAAATGGCGTGCCACGCACGGAGTTTGTGCGGCGTGCACGCGGTGTTTATGGCTGCCTCTGCAGTCTTTTGTTAATCGTCTGCGTGGGACGCATTCTGACGCATCGCTGGTAAGAAGCCATTTTTTTTTTTGCCTTTTTTATTCCTCCTGTAGACTGCCTCTGCATCCATGTGCGTATTCTAATAGGTGTTGGGGAAAAACAGCGGCCCGCTGCCAACTGCGGCGATACGCGAGGTGCCGTGCTGGGGACAGGGCGCCATGTAGGCGCAAACCGTCACCGGAGAACATAAGTACAATGTGTGGAAGCCTATCCGTATCTTTGTCTCCATTGAGGAGCTGCAGGACGAGGGGGAGTACTGCGGGACCGAATGGGAGAAGAGACCGGACATTATGGGCGGGGAAATGGTGTGTTTTAGCGATGATACTCTGGCCGCGGAGAGGAACTGTACTGTGGCGAATGGCATCCTCTCTGCGGCTGTCAAACTGCATACTGAGCGTCCGCTCGTTTAGCGCATATTTGCACGGTGGCTGGCTCACCGTTTCTTGGACTGGAGCAATTGCCAGTATTTTGCTGTGTCTGTGAGCCGTCACCTGATTGGTGTTTCTGCCGTGGATACGATGCTTCACGTAGGTTGCCGGTTCGGTTTTCAAGGGAAGGGCTATCCCGTGTGCTGCTGGAGAGAACGGTCGTACCGTTGCAAGTGTGCTCGGCTGACGTTGATGTTTCGTTCGCTTGTGTTTGCCTGACTGCTCACCAGCTCGCTCATTCTCTTGGGGTTTTTTGTTGTTTGGAAGAGATGACGAGACGCAAAATGCTGCTGCGTATCCCTTCTTTTCGCAGCCGCCCCGCCCCTGTGGTTGTTGTGTTTGTTGTCAAATACATTTTTCTTTGGGTTTGTTGTTGTTGTTGTTGTTTGCGTGTAGTTTTATCGTTTAAAACTACTAAAAATATCAACTCATACGTATAAACATAAACAAACTTAAGAAAACGTACAAAGAAAAGAGAAAGAAATAATAAAAAAAAGTTTTTATTCTCAAGCAGTTAGGAGAAGTGAAGCAAGAACATATATCTATCTATATATTATAGATAGATAGATAGATAGAAACTTATCCATACAAATATATACAAGTGTTGGGAGTGAAGGGTTTTGCGTATCGTCAGAAACAAAAAGGAAAAATAACGTTTATTAAAGACAAGGAGGGTAAAGCAATTTAACGAGGATTCAAGGTTCCAAATGAGTGTATTTATCATTCCCCATTCCGGCAAGTACCGCGGGTACTTTGAGTTTGCCGTGGTAATGAGCGGGAAGAAGCAGTCGAAGCTGAAAGTAACGGTCTACGATGAACTGAAGAAGCGAGTTGTGTACGAGACGAAAGACACGTGGCCCTCTGGCAGGAAAATGGCGCTGCCGCCCGGTGATTACTGCGTGCATGCGGAGCTGGTGTTGCCACGCCTTGATGGGTCAACCCTTCTTCTCGATGCTGTCAAGGCGCAGTACTCTATTGTTCAGAGGAGCGGGAGTACGTTGTCAACGCCGACACCGCTATCGGGGCAAATGCTACGGGAGGAGTTGGCATCGTGTGCCAGTCATGTGCAGCGACTGAGCCCATACTCAACGGAGGGGGCGATAGCCCTCGCCGCGCGCGCTGATCTTGTGGACGGGGGCGAATTGGCGACTCGTTTGGGCTCATTTCCCCCGTCACGGAGGAGCATGTCAGAGTTCAATGGTCGTTCCTCCGTCAACGCTGAATCCGTGGCTGGGGACGATGCGGCGAGTGTGTGGCGCAGCCCTTCTCGCGGGACTCCCAACCCGGCACTTCCGCGTATACGCGACCCGACACCAGCGCAGGCGCTCAGGGCGTTTTCTGAGTTGCCATCGAAGAGGGCCACACCATCTCTTGCGAGGGTCTCTTTGAACGCGTATGAGACTGCAGAGCCAAAGTCACCGTTCTCCTTGCCGCAGCGGAATATCTCCTTGACAGCACACCCATACGCGCCCTCTGAGGCCGGCAACAACGAAAACACTGCACCGGCCGCCTTCAATCCGGAACCGCAGAACGCCACTTCCTGGCTTTGGAAGTTGTCCCCAACACCTGTCAAGGAGGAGAGGATGATGAAATCCTCACCGGGGTCCGTTTATGCGATGGCTATCGACGAGCCAAATTCAAGGCAAATGAATTACGAAGAGATCCCTCTTGTTTCGACGCCTCCCCAGCAGCAGCAGCAGTCTGATTACCCCGCGGACTCCGCGCGGGGCTCGGTGCACACACCTCCCCAATATGAAACTATCGCATTACCCTGCTGCAACGAGGGCGTGGGGGTTCGTCCTGTCAATGCAGTAAATTCTCCGGATCGGTTGCATGCGAATGACCAGGCGGTACCCTTTTCGTACAGTTTGCCAGTCGAGAATGTTGAAGAAAACAAAAACCCCTTGTCATTTCGAGAAACGACGCCTCTTTTTGTGCGTGCTGAACCGGTACGCAACAATGAAGAAGAAAAGATAAGCAGTTTGCCGAAGCAACCGAATGCCGAGAAGGAACAACAAACTCTCCATTTCGCGATACCGACTTCCACGAATGGTTCCTCAGCGGAAATGGTGAAATATACCCCACCCGTGACGATAAAGGATAACCAAGAGAAATCGCCAAACCGGGGCAGTGCGCAACCCACAAGCCCGCATCTTCCTTCTAGGAAGGAGGGTCCCACTTTTGTTGTACCACCCCCCGACGTCATTGATGTGCATGAGCCCTTTTGCCTGGCGCTTGCTTTCGGTTCTCCAAATGCAGCAACAACGACGAACCCTGTTTTTATTCATGTGCTGGTCGAGGAGGAAGTGGAACCTGGAGTTAAGCCGGTGGAGCCTGTGATTTCTGTGGTGCCCGCCACGTTGGCCGCAGTCCCAACCCAGGCAAGAGGGATCAACTACCGCTGGGTGTGCTCACCTTCGATACGTGCAAACGGGCGTACTGGCTTGATGGAGTTACTGGGCGGTGTGGCGGGGAAGCCGCACACTGCCATAGCAATCTCCACGGTGTGCGTGGGTCCTTCTTGCGATGGCCAAACACTCTCAGGCATTCAGTTTGTGCTTGATAATGTTGAGCGGATAAGTTCGTGCCAGTTTTTTGTTTCTTTTCGAGAAATTGAAGAGATGAGCAACGAGGAAGAGGAAGTTACAAAAGAGGAAGCAAGCGTGAACGAAGATGACAACAATGGGGACACCGCCAAAGCGCAGGAAAAAAGCAGGCAAACACCCACATTGGACGATCGTGCCCTGGGCGCCGAGGTTATATACAACTCGTTGCCGTATATTCGTTGCGTTGTGGACGAAAATGGCGAGATGACACTTGAAGTTCAACGCAAGAATTTCGTGGTCGCGTGTGAGCCCGTTCAGAAAGGCTCTCGTGTCGCCATGTACTTTGGAACCATCGCAACTAACAGTAAAGCCGCTGGCGGCAACGTTGGAGGACAACAGCCGTATCTTTCTGTTCTTGTGGATTATCGAACAGTATTCCGTTACGTCGTTCCTTTTGGAAAGGTTCCGGAAGCCCTGCGTGTCATTCTGATGAGCAGCGTGAAATCATCGACGGATGCGCCTGACTCTGGGGCCTGCATGCGGCTACGGGAAGTGGAGCTTTTGTCGCAGCAGCGCAGGCTTGTGGCATTTGCCGATGAAGTGTGCCTGGACGACGCAAAAGCGAGTCAAATAAGTGACAGCATCCGACGAAAACAGCAAGAAGAGGGACCAAGTCAGCATGGCGCTGGGAGGCCTGGTTCAGTTTCAGCGTGGGTGGCGGGGCAAAACCCCGGAATACGCGCGTGGCGTCGTGTGACACTTCTTTGATGTGTCCAGTAAATATAACTTTTTTTTTGTTTTTATTTTTTAGCGCACTTTTTTTTTCTTTTCTTTTTTTTTTTCTTTTTTTTCTTTTTTTTCTTTTTTGATTCGTTTGATTTAAATTTTGCTTTTTTTTTTTTTTTTGTTCCGCTCCATGCGTGGGAAAGAGAAGGGTGAGGACGAGGACAGGTGCCGCATGGCTGGCGCCAAAAAAGGAAATCTGAAATGAGGAAAAGTGAGGAGGAGAAAAAACAAATATATCGTATCGTCGTTTTTTTTTTTTTTTTCTGTATGTATGTATGTGGGGGAATGTCAATGAGCTGGCAGCTGTAGCAGCTGGGGAGTATCGTGGACAGGTGCGTGCATATGCGTTCACCGTCTATAGCGCAGGGTTGAGAGAGTAAGGAAACGGAAAGGTGTAGTGGAAGCAAAAGAGAAACACAAAAAAAAAAAAAACGTGAATGACCCGAGAAGGGCGAATTTTATTATTTATATTTATATTTATATTATTAAAGTAAGCATGCATGGCCCTGTCTATCTGTCTCTTGGGGTAAGTTGTATCCATTTTTTTATTTATTTATTTATTTATTATTATTATTTTTTGTTGTTGTTGTTGTTTCGTTTCCCTGACTAAATACGGGGCAATTTTTCTTTTTCTTGCTTTTATTTTCTTTTTCTTTTGTTTTTTTTTTTTTTGTGTGTGTGTGTGTCGTGTCTAGCGGTGGGGAGCCATGAAACTAAACTTCCCGTTAGCCATTTGCATGAGTGCAAGCATGCGTGTGTATCTCGTCCTCCTTTTTTTTATTTTTTTTTATTTTGATGCCCCATTGAACGCATGGCACTTTGCATGCCGCGTTGCACATGGACGGTTCTCTTGACGGCATGGGTTTTTTTGTTGTTTTTACTTCTTCCTTCTCTCTTTCACAGGATTAGCACGCAGCTGCCCAAGAGCTTGTCACCGAGTAGAAGAGTTTGCGGAGAGAGAGGGGGAAAACAGACAAAAAAAAAAAAGAGAATTGTACCGAAACGACTAGATTTAAATAAGAGGAAATTGGTGGACAGAACGATGCTTGCTAATATTGGACTGGAAAGTGAAAGCCGTGTGCGTGAAAACCGCATCCGTGGCCGGCGACATGTTCCCCGCGATGAGACATTTGGGCAACAGCCAACATACATGACAGCACCATTTGCCGTTCAGCAGGAACCCTTGCGGAACCCGCGTTCTACAGCAATGCCGCTCCCGCAGGACATTTTGATGCCTGAAGAAAACGAAAAGGGGAGTTTTGCATCCAATTGTGACGTTCCGCAGCCGCAACTGGGAGAGGAACGACTCTCCAAGAGTGGATTAAACATTTTCTCGTGGAACACAGAGGCCCCAAAGGCTCTTCCCTCCCGTGTTCGACGGGAGCGCGATGCGGAAGAGCTGCTTCGGCTTAAACCGCTGGACGCCGAGGTGCAGCGCGATATTGAGGTCCGGGAAAAATTTGAAGGCAACACGCATAGCCGCTTTTTGTGCTTCAGTCAGGATGGAGAAGCCGGCAAGCAGCTGGGATCCCGCGGAAGGGACAGAAACCGCCTGCCGCAGACGACGCTTGCTTCTGCTCCGGTGCTGGACGGAATTTCTTGCAACCGCAATCCAACGGGTGATGCGGTGCCACACGGACGGAGGCGATTCCCCCCAACCGCTTGTCCCAATGAAGGGATTGCTGGATTTGCAGGAATGGGCATGGGCGGTTTTGGAAGGCCGCACAAACCCGTGGGAAATGGCGCCAATGGATTCTGATCGCCCAGAGTCATCAGACCACAAGAATAACAAATAGAATACAAAGAAAATAGCCATGGATATATACATATATATATATATATATATAATCGGTCTGGGCCTTCTCGGTGGGGTGAAAGTGATGATGTAGTTAGATAAATTTCTGTAATGTTTAAGGCGGCTCGATGAATGACTTTTTTTTTTTTTTTTTGTGTGTGTGTGAGAAAAAAAAGTGATGCGTTTGTATTAGAGTGCGTGCGAAGTAATTTCTTTTTTTTTTTTTTTTTTATTTGACGTATCTTCTTAGTTGTTGTTTTTTTGTTTTTTTCTCCCTCTCTGTGTGTGTGTTTGCTTGTCCGTCTGGGCACGTGTGCGAGAAGAAGAGGCGGCAGTGCCATCACAATTTTATTTTATTTTTTTTTTTCTTTTTTTTTTTTTTTCTTTTGGTGGCCAAATGTCGGAGCGGAAACGGAACAAACAAACAAAAAAAAAAGGGAGTATATTCCTCCTTCCCCAATCCCTTGTTTTACTGCCCGAGACAAAGAAAGGGCGGATGGGCGAGTGGGCACAGATTTCAGGAGGCAACGCCCACCCAAAGAACCGTGCTTTTGGCGGGGAGGGGGAAAATGTTGCGGGCCGGTGACGAGAGAAGGGCCCCGGCAAGAGAAAAGGGGAACACGCTCACATGTGTAAAAGAGAGGGAGAGGTGTGTGGCTGTGGGGGGGACTGTGAACGCACGCCAGGCTATCAACGATGGTAAATAATGCCAAGAAAAGAAGAAGAAAAAAAAAAAGAAAGAGTATGAATGAATGGTTGATCGGGTGCAGGGAGGGGGGGGGGGGAAGACGCCCGTCGCTCCAAGCAAAAATCGTTTATTTTTTCTTTTGTTTTTATTGGGTTTTGGGGGGTTGTTTTGTTGATTTTCTTTTTCTTTTTCTCTCTCTCTCGCTGGAAGTGTTTATTTCTTTGTATCCGTCTCTGAGGGATTGCAAAAAAGGGGGAGAGAGAGAGAAAAAGAAAAAGGAAAAAAAACGGTCTGGCCGTAGGGACACCCAAAGAGAGTACCCGCGTGAGGTCTTCTTCTCAGATGTCCCCCCCCAAACACGCACAAAAAGTTTGCTGCAAAGCGTACGTTTGGAGGGCGCATTGCAGCCCACGTGGACACTCTGCCGGGGGGTACTGCATTTATATAAAATACATGCGGTCACAATGACAACACGACGAAACATATATTCTTTTTTGTTTTTGTTTTTGTTTTTGTTTTTCATCCGTATTGGGGGGAAATGTAAAGCGTAGAATATTTGTTGCATCTCCACGTGGCTTTCTTCAAATTTCTTTCTTTCATTCTTGTTGTTGTTTTGTTCCCCGTTTCTCCCGGTGTTTTGTTTTTTTTTCTTCCCCCCCACCCCCACCCTTTTTTTTTTTGGTAATTTTATGTTTGTTTGTTTGTGGTGCCCTCGTCATTTGTTAGGCTGCGTATCCGTCGAGGGACGATAGAGGAAGAAGAAGAGAAGTAAAAATAAAAAATAAAAAATAAAAAAAACTTTTCCGTTGCCACTCTTTGAGTGGTTCATTCCCTTTTTTTGTTTGTTTGTTTGTTTTTCTTTCTGCCCTTTTTTTGGGGGGGCGGACGGGGCCGCTGATGTTGAAATGATAAGTCCTCTTGGCATCTGTTTGGCTGACTGTATCTTTCTGTTTTATTTTTACCCTACCCATCATAGCGGCCTCCTCACAACTTTCATTTGCATTTTGGCATACGGCGCGCCGGTGCAGTGGACGAACGTGTGGGCCAGTGGAATTAACTCCTTTTCTCCGTTTATTTATTTTTTCTTCTGCTTTGCCGCCTTCCAGAAGCTGGAGAAAACCGCCGGGGGGGTTGGGGGCGGGTGGGCGTAGGAGGAGATAGTCAGGGCGAGGGCGAGGGGAGAATCACAATCGCATACGCGTTGGCAGTGTGACTTTCGTGTCTGTGTGGCGAAGGGTAGTTATGCAGCAGCGGTGCGTGCGACATGTCTCCTCTCGCGTTGACTGGCTGCTCCGTGGCTTTGGGCTGACGTCTGGCAGGGGATGGTTCGCATCCCCGAGGCTGTGCTGTCAGGGTCGGCTGTACGCGAGTCAGTCATCAGAGTTTGCCATTGAGACAGAGACCCTTAGCCATCACTGCAACAACAGCAACAGCAACAGAATCAGCACGGTTACTTCTTCTGTTGCCCCTGATTCCTCTTCTAGGCGTGATGGGAGCAACCACTCGGCACCGACGCTGAGCAACGAGGAAGGGAAAATAAGTACCTTATTGCGTGCATGGGATCTACAGCAGGTGCTTTTTGGCCTCAGGGACTTCCAGACGGGAGTTGTAACATACGTGGAAGTGGAGGAACGATTACGCGGCATGCGGCTAATGGATGAGTGGATGATCCAAAAACTATTTTTGGAGAGCGGCTGGGTGCGTCAGCTGCAAGAGAACGCTGAGACGGCACCCCAGCACCACGCTGTGGTGGGCGAGCAGAAGATTCTACGCTACATGCTGCATCGTTTTATTTCAGACGAAACCATGTGGCGTGACGATCTGCTTGCCTTATTGGAGCTCCTTTTTACTTCTGTGGATCAGTCAACATGCCTTTCTTTTGATCGTACGTCTTGTCACACCGAATTGCACCCCTGCACGACGTCAGTGGATAACTCTGCCTGCGGCCACGAAGATGATCACAACACAAGTGAATTCTCGGTGAGAATTCCAGGCTCCCTTTTTAAGGAACCCGAAAAGATGAACTTCTACTCGTATGGCTTGCAGAATGTCCTGTGGGAGTTCCTGCAGGAGGATGCATCTTCTTTTGGAGACACCTCGGCACTCTGGCGCGTTTTTGTGGTATCCTATCGCAACCTGTTGTCTCTACCCTCGCCGCAGCGGCCGCCGTTTAGTCGATACGAGTCTCATCCTGGTATATTGGGGGCGGAGTTTGTGGGGGCAATGCGCTCTAAGCAAACTAAGAGCCCCAGGGAGAATTCGGATGAAGTGGCACTTGGGGATACGCCTCAAGAGCCTGTGGAATGTGATTTGCCGAATGACGGGCAGGAAGAAACGTCGAGAGACGGCGAAGAAGACAAAGTGATGATGATGAACGATGAAAGTGGGAACTCGTACTTGCGTGATAGGTTCTACATGAGTGTGATTGAGCCGGGTGAAGTTTCTTTTCCCGCAGGAGATGCCAGGCCGAGTGGTGTTTTGTGTGGAGCCGGAAATGAGCACACACCAGAGCGGCATTCAGGTGTTTTTCCGGCCTCTTGGCGAGGGGAACGCGAGATTCTCAACCCCGGGAACGGGGAGCTGGAGGATATTCACCTCAACCACCTCTGGGGTATATTTCAAAAGATGAAGCTGGAAGACAGCATCGACATGTGCCGTGCGGTGCGTCATGGAAATCTGGAGAAATTGAGGTGGGAAGTGTTTATGGACGTCCTTGCCAAGGAAAGGTCTTTTGTTGCTTTTTTTTGCACGCGACGAGGTGCGGGCGTTGACCCCACCACACCTGACATATCGTCGGCTCAGTCGACTGCATCAAGAACTGAAAGTAATTGCCTCATGGACTTCCACTCGTGGCCACGGCGTGCCCCCACCATCACTCCCATCGTTTGAGGATCTTACTCTCTCCTCTCGACTCTCTTTCAGTTGCTTCGCTCAACTGCATGCACCCGTTCAACGTCATTTGTACGGATTTGCCACCCCCAGTGTGTCGCCAGCGCATTTATACAGTCGATACTGCGAGAGTTACTCGCACTCTCTCGTGCAACCAAACGCACTTTCACAGGACGGCAAAAAAGAAGATGCGGGTAAAACGATTTCATGTGAGACGTCTACCGTGTTAGAAAAGTGTCAGTTTCCACGATTTGAGTGCCTTAGCGAGCTCCAGCGAATGGCATTTTATTATTCTTTTCACGATGAAGTGATCCACTCCTCCCCACAACTAAACGTAGACAACAGCTGCAGTACTGGTGTAGTATATAACGTAAGCATTAACCAGAAGTACAGGACCGAACTCACTGAGCCAGAGCTGTTCGACGAGCCTCCCGTTGCAGTCAAGCAGCGTGGGCGGCCGAGAAGGACGACGCCGACGATGCCCGTTGCATCCGACGAGCCTCCCGTTGCAGTCAAGCAGCGTGGGCGACCGAGAAGGACGACGCCGACGGTGCCCGTTGCATCCGACGAGCCTTTCGATGCATCCGACGAGCCTCCCGTTGCAGTCAAGCAGCGTGGGCGACCGAGGACGACGCCGACGGTGCCCGTTGCATCCGACGAGCCTTTCGATGCATCCGACGAGCCTCCCGTTGCAGTCAAGCAGCGTGGGCGACCGAGGACGACGCCGACGGTGCCCGTTGCATCCGACGAGCCTTTCGATGCATCCGACGAGTCTCCCGTTGCAGTCAAGCAGCGTGGGCGGCCGAGAAGGACGACGCCGACGATGCCCGTTGCATCCGACGAGCCTCCCGTTGCAGTCAAGCAGCGTGGGCGGCCGAGAAGGACGACGCCGACGATGCCCGTTGCATCCGACGAGCCTCCCGTTGCAGTCAAGCAGCGTGGGCGACCGAGAAGGACGACGCCGACGGTGCCCGTTGCATCCGACGAGCCTTTCGATGCATCCGACGAGCCTCCCGTTGCAGTCAAGCAGCGTGGGCGACCGAGGACGACGCCGACGATGCCCGTTGCATCCGACGAGCCTTTCGATGCATCCGACGAGCCTCCCGTTGCAGTCAAGCAGCGTGGGCGGCCGAGAAGGACGACGCCGACGGTGCCCGTTGCATCCGACGAGTCTCCCGTTGCAGTCAAGCAGCGTGGGCGACCGAGGACGACGCCGACGATGCCCGTTGCATCCGACGAGCCTTTCGATGCATCCGACGAGCCTCCCGTTGCAGTCAAGCAGCGCGGGCGACCGAGGACGACGCCGACGGTGCCCGTTGCATCCGACGAGCCTTTCGATGCATCCGACGAGTCTCCCGTTGCAGTCAAGCAGCGCGGGCGACCGAGGACGACGCCGACGGTGCCCGTTGCATCCGACGAGCCTTTCGATGCATCCGACGAGCCTCCCGTTGCAGTCAAGCAGCGTGGGCGACCGAGGACGACGCCGACGATGCCCGTTGCATCCGACGAGCCTTTCGATGCATCCGACGAGCCTCCCGTTGCAGTCAAGCAGCGTGGGCGGCCGAGAAGGACGACGCCGACGGTGCCCGTTGCATCCGACGAGTCTCCCGTTGCAGTCAAGCAGCGTGGGCGACCGAGGACGACGCCGACGGTGCCCGTTGCATCCGACGAGCCTTTCGATGCATCCGACGAGCCTCCCGTTGCAGTCAAGCAGCGTGGGCGGCCGAGAAGGACGACGCCGACGGTGCCCGTTGCATCCGACGAGCCTTTCGATGCATCCGACGAGCCTCCCGTTGCAGTCAAGCAGCGTGGGCGGCCGAGAAGGACGACGCCGACGGTGCCCGTTGCATCCGACGAGCCTTTCGAAGCATCCGACGAGCCTTTCGATGCATCCGACGAGCCTCCCGTTGCAGTCAAGCAGCGTGGGCGACCGAGAAAGAAGGTGCTTTCCACGTGAGTTGACTAGTATGCGCGGTTTCTTTTTGGCTTTTGTTGGCTTTTCTTTGTTGTTGTTTTGTTTATTTTTTATGGCAAGAGAGCGCAATTGCCATCGCAGCTATTTCTTTTTTTATTTCTGTATGTTTGTCTGTGTCTGTTTGTGTGTGTGTGTTGGTTGTATGGGTATCAGTGGGAATTCGTTGGGAGTCTTTGGTGTCTCCTTTGGTGGTGTATCTTGTGTTTTTTTTTATTGCTGCGTTCCTTCTTGTCCTTTTGAGGGACCACAGAAGGAAGGAGGGAAGGGGAGGAGTGTGTGTTTGGGGAATTCTCAACAAGCGCCCCTTCATCAACCTTTTGTCATCCCGCTTTATTTTTTTCTTCTCTCCTTTTATATTCTGGGTTTCATTTTGTAGCTTACGTTTTTTTTTTTTTTGCGTTTTATTCAACGCGCTCGCCCTCCGTTTTAAGTTCGGTAATTAAACAACTCCGTTTGGGGAGTACCGCGCCACCTCCACAACATATCTCGGGAGGAAACAGCGTTCTATTAAAAAGAGAGAGAGAGAGAATTTAGAAGGCAAACAACTCCGAGAACCGAGGGGAAGTGTTTGCCAACATGATGCGACGAGCCTTTTCAGTTTTTTTGTGCCTCCCGCGCTGCCCCACGGCGCTGCCTTTTCTCAACGACCAGACGGTGCGCTTCTCTGCGCGATGTGTGGCGTCGTACCCGTCGCCTGGGACAGTCCGCAGCGATCCCAGGAGCGGCCGCAAGAATTACAACTACCTCAATAGCAAGCGGCTTGTGGAGACCGAGAAGGGGCCTCGCAGCCGCCGAGCGATCCGCCTGCGTGATGACGTCTTTTTCCACCGCCGCATTCAATTCCGTGAGGAGATAAACAAGTGCATTGAGAACGAAATTCGCTATTTCCCCGAGAATGTGAAGAGGTATGTGTTTTTTAAAAACAGTTCGCCAACAGCGACGGGGAATGGGTTCCAAGGGATGCGTAAGGCTCCCGGTTGGGTCCAGCGACGCATCTTGCAAATTGTGGAGGGTGAAATCCTGAAATTGAAGAATCGGGATCATCTTGTGGAGCTGATTGAGAGCACAGGCACGGTGCCGCCAACCAAAGAGGAGTGGGCACGATACACCGACAAAAAGGGGCGGATAAATATCAACTTGTACCATCATTTTTTTGTGGAGAAACACCTCCGTTGCTTCTGCGTGGGAAAGAGGTGTACTGAAAAGCACAGATTAATTCAGGCATTCCTGATTTTGAATAGAAATAACTTTGACGTATGCCCTCCGTTGTTTACATGGTCACTGCGTCAAGGGCCTGTTCGTGACGAAGAACTTGTGGAGCGCGGCTCGCAAAAGGAAGTGCGTGACATTATAGCCGAATTGGTGCAGTTCCAGCGCTCAAGCGTCATGCGGGCGTTTGAAAAGTTGTCACCGAGGGAGAAGGAGGCGTTGGTGATACAGGCGGAGGGTAAAAGAGAGGAGCTTCGCCGTGAATACGAACAGGAACGGCTCTTTGGGTCCAAGTTGATGTGTGGTGTGGCTTCACTAAAGGAGGTTCGATCCATGACGAGCCCGGCCATCAGCTATTACAACCAGGAGTATTACAAGTATGTCATTCGGTGCGGGGGCTCTGTTGAGGCGACGCTGAGACAATCAAAGGACGAGGTGCCAAGTTGGTTCGCACTTCCGAAGGAGACAAAGATGAAGTACTATTGCTTTGAGCGATCCAGTGAAATGCATCCTATTAGCGGGGCGCATCTCTACTTCCGCTACTGTTCTCGAGATTACGGTTTGTCCCGTGAGGATTCGGTGGGAAAATGGTCGATGCTGTCGGAGCTGCAAAAGGCGGCACTTAACTTTTGTTTCTACTCCCCAATATCCGCACCACGTCGGTCTTCATCGGCATTCCGCCGTTTTTACTACAATGAATGTTATCGGCACGGTCTTATGATGACAGGGAGGGCCTGCAGCAACTTTGCCTTCCTCAGACGGGCGCGCAAAATATGGATGGGCATGAGTGCGGATGAGCGCGCAAAGTACGAGGACACGGAATCGTTCTCTTCCGTGTTCCCACTGCAACCGTTGTTGTCATCCAGAGCAAAAGGAAGCAACGCTTCAAACAAGCAACGTCTTCTTGAGTCGTCCACTGCCTCTGCTTCTGCCAGCACTACTGCGGAAAAGATGGAAACGCTGCGGGGGAGACAAGAGCCTGTGGCGGTGAGCAAGAAGAACGATGCCGTGGAGGAGGAGGATGACGAAAACGAAATGTTTTACTTTAAGGACGAGATCATAAACGAAGATGGACCTCAAGAAGAAAACCAAACGCACGAAGCAAAAATACTGTCGCACATGAATTCGCGTTCGGGGAAAGAAGAAATTCTTGTCTTTAGCATTTAGATTTCCCCATCCTCCCTTCACCCACCTGCACGCACATGCACAGGCAGATCTGCAGTGCGTTTAATGCTAGACTTTGCTGTTGTTGCTCATTGTGGTAGCGGCGCGGAAAAGGGTTTTGTGCCCAGTTTGTCTGCATCTATAGAGTGGACCAAGGAAATCACTTGTACAGTTACCGGAAGGGTGAGATGAGAGTCGATGAGATGGCGTGTGTCAGTTTTAGATTTGTACAAACTGAAGAGGAACGACGGCAGCACCGCCGCCCAAAAAAAAAAGCACAAAAATAAGAAAGTAATTAAAATAAAAGGCAGCATTTTGTTTTATTTTGTGTGTGTGTGTGTGTTTGTCGGGGTTTTTTTTTGTATGCTTGCGATTATTGCCGCCTGGGTGTGTATGATGATCGTGAAAGAGGGAAGGACGGCATCCCCTCCGTGTTGTGTTCCTTTAAAAGGAAAAAAAGGGGGGGTAAATATTTGTGGGCCGCACGAGCTGCCGCCTGAAATTCAGCCGTTTTTTTCCCCCTTTCTTTTGTTGATTGAAGGCGAAACGAGTGTACTGCGTCATGACGACCAGTGCACATTATAGGCAATGTATGGGGCTATTATCGTTTTATAGTCCCGCGGATCGCCACAACTGCGCGGAGGCGTTGATGGAGCAGGGCCGTTTTGCGCGGTGTCCATCACCTTGTGCGGTGCCCGTTCCTGTGGGCGGTGGTCCTTGCTTCTCCCGCCAGGAAACGGCAAGGGTTGGCTTCGGCTCCCGCAGTCTGGTCGCGTCGCCATTCAAAGAGCAGTTAAGGGATCGAACTGTGATGGGCCAAAGAAGTCCACATGAGCAACGCCATCTCCCGCCGTCAAGCTTTCAGTCATGGCGGTTTGCTGGAAAGGCCGGCAGCCGTGACTATTTCTCCATTCCGCGCTCCGATGCCTCTTGGGGCTCTTTAATGCAGTCGGCGTCTCGGCGGGAGGAGAAACGTGAACTTCAACGTCTAGAGCGCGAACTGAAAGCGGAAAGGCTTTAGATGCGTGCTGCTCTCCCTAGAACTCCCCAGCAGCTGAGATAAAGGGAGTAATTACTTTTGTGTGTATGCTTAATTTCTCTTTGTTGAAAATTGTAACTCTTTTCGTTGTTGTTTTTTTCTTGTGTGTTGCCTCTGTTTCCTGTACACTATTGTAACTGGATGCTGCGCCACATGGCCGGTGCGGTTATTCCATCCTCCTGCGATTGCTCCCTCTCCCTTTTCGTGTGTGTGTGTGTGTGTGTCTAAGCAGGCATGTACATTCACCACGCCGGGGCATTGAGACAGCGTTACCGAATTGTATAAAGACCCTTTCGTTTGTTTTCCCTCTTTTTCCTCTTTTTTTTCCATTTTTCTCCCCCCCACTGTGTTTGCGTTCCGCATTACGACACCGGTTCGGACTTGGCTCTATTCATGGCTTGAATGACATCCTAGTGGAAGTTCGGTTGGAACCGGTGATTGTTTACGCCGAAAACAAAAAGAAACTGCGCGCAACTGCGGAAATGACGCAAAGCAACGTTGACCAGCGGGCGTATGAGACGCTGCGGAGGCTCGGCTGCTCAGAGGAAACGGCATCTCGACTTCTTTATCGCTGGTGGCCGGATATTGAGGGTTGTGTAGAGGAATTGCGGCGCAGGCGTATGCCATCACTGATGGCGCTTGAGGTGTTTTCTCAGCAAAGGAACTACTTTCGCAATTTGAGCAAGTCCATGCTACCGATAGGCAAAACCCAGCTGCCGTGCTTCCGCGAGGAACATCTTGATGAACCTAGCAGTGGCTATCCGACGCTCACGTGGGGTGAGGTGGCGGAGCGAATCAACAGTAGTTCCGAGGTTGAAATTTTTTTTCTGGATGTCGAATCTGGCATCATTACGGATTTTGACAGCTACGAGGAGTATTATCAAAACAACATTCTTGCGGAGGGATTTATGGACATCGTGGCGTTTACCACCACCGTGGACGGTCTTGTGCCCCTGGTGGACTACCTGCACGCCAGACATTTTGGCGGAATGCAGCCGCCTCGTGCCTGTACTCTACGAGGACCCTGTGTCTTGAGCAGCAACGGGCGTAGTATAAACTTCACATCGGGAATTTCCCTTGGAAATGATGTGACAAGGACGATAAGAAGTGAACAAGTTATACTGCAACCCCCCCGCAGACGTACCCGAATCCTCTTGGGGAACGATGTACTCACGTCAGTCAAGCAAAGGCAAGATAAGGATGGTATGCAACGGGCTCTGAAGGCCCACGGTCTGACGCATATTCGCGGCATTTCTGGATTTAGCGCCGCGGATGCGAAGCGCTGGAGACGGGAGCAGAAAATTCCATTCCCCGTTATTGTTAAACCCGTGAGTGGCGCAGGATCGGAGCTGGTGACCATTTGTTACAGCGACGAAGAAATCGACACCGCCTTTTCTCTCACACGTAACGTGAAGACAACCCAAATGACGGATGCGTCTCATATGCTCTTGCAGGAATACATTGAGGGACAAGAATACGTTGTGAACATTGTGAGCTACAACGGAAAGCATGTTGTCTCTGATGTTTGGAAAAGCTGGAAGTATCCCATTTCGTTGTACAGCACAAGACTCCTTCCTTCTGTGGAGGAGAGACTCAGACGTGAGTATAAATGTACGGGGCGTGGCAGACTTCCGGTTCAACAAAACAGCACGGCACTTTTGTATGATCGTATTGAATTTGTGCATAACTTGGCGGAGTTGGATCCGAGCTCTGAGGTAAGGCGCGTTGTGGCGTATACCCTTCAATGTGTTGATGCCCTTGGCATGCGGCAGGGATGTTCACATTGCGAAGTTCGCATAGATAATCGTTTTGGTAGTGTCTCTCAGGGAATGCCGATCCTTATCGAACTAAATCCACGCATGCTTGGCGACACCCCTCGCGCTACCCCTCTTGTGGGATACGATCAGTACATGCTTTTGATGTATTTAGTTCTTTCTGCCGCAGCCATTCCCGAAGAAACATTT